GAGGAAGAGGGTAGCTGCTGTGTATGGGAGGAGGGAGTGCAGAGAAGAGTATGGTAGGTTCTAAGAAGATAACTGGGCCATTTTTTGGCAGCTCCATACTCAGTTGTAACTATAAATTTTTAAGTACAACCATAGCATGAAGAACATGATAATCCATGGCTTGGAACTCTCAGGTATAATGTGTGGGTAAACATCAAACAAGCCTCCCAGATGAGCAGAAGTGCTGACTGAAGGAAAGGGAAATCTAAAATGGCTATGGGAGGGGGCAGATATGAATATCAATAATGGCCTTGGTACCAACTGCATTATCAACTTGGGGGGGGCACCATTCCTTCTCAAGCACATTTCCTTGGAAATTGCAATCAACTGTGACCAATTGGATAAGCTTTGCCTGGATGAAGTGAACTTATCTAAGCAGCAAATGGATCTGAGGGCTATGAGAAATGGAGAAGCAGAATGTGGATGTTGATACATTACCAAGATTTTTTTTTCATCAGCTATGCACCTCTCCCCCATTTGCTGTGCATGTGAACAGATTACAGTTCATAGCTCTTCCCTTCCTTAGAGGTTCTCCCTCTGCAAAAGAGGAGCCCCTTTCCCAGGAAAGCTATTCCCTGCCATGGGGAATATATCAATAGCCAATGACTAATGAACACAGGGTAGAAGAGGCTATCTATCTTCTCTCAAAGAGAGGCCAACTCTGTGGAGCAATGCATGCTTCAGAGCCCCTCCATAGGATCCGACCAGTCTGTCCGACCAGACTCTACTTGTGCTTAGATTTCATTTCCTGTTCTACCTTGCTGCCCTCACTCTCCTCCTGAGAGCACTCTTTCAATAAATCACATAAACAAGAATTCCTGACTTGGCTCTGCTTTTGAAGAACCTTACCTAAGACATTCGATAGTATGCAAATCATCTGAAAGAAAGCATCCTAAGCATAGGCCTTAAAAATTCTCACAAATACGATTCCAGTGAATATTATTAGCTCACAATTTTTTGTTAAATTACCTAACTTTAAAATACATATCATGAATGAGACTCACCAGGAAGAAAACACAAAAATTTCATTAAATAGAATCAACTCAAACATAAAACACATATATAATATATATAAAACACATATTATGCACACAAAATGTATATACAATATGTAATATAATAATTTTAATAAACTACATATAATAATTATGTTTTAAGATATTTGCATAACATATATGACATATATGCAATATGGTATATATTATATATAACTTTATCTATATTATATGTTGCATATGTAATATATACAAAATATACATAATATATAATATTAAAATATATGGTAATTATATATAATATTTAAAGACCTATATAATATATACAAAATGTATGTAATACATATTAAGTGTATAAAAAGAGGAAATACAAACATAAATGACAGCAAAAATGTATCAGTATCAAAAGCCAATTCACCAAAAAACAAAAATTGTGAATAGCATATAATAAATGAAATGAAAACTCAATATATGGATGAAAGGCAGATTAGACTGAAGAGAACACAGAACTAGTGTGGTAGGAAGATGTGAATAAATATCCCAGAATTCGCTGACTTGAAGGTAGAAAATACAGGTGTTGAAACAAACAGAGAACACTGTGAGAAAGCTGACATCCACATAAGCAGAGTTCTAGGTAGTAATGACAAAGGTGTAGAAGAAATATTTGATGAGATAATGCCTGAAATTTTTTCAAAGTTCATGAAAGACACCAATCTATAGATTCAGGAAGTCAACTAAACCACAAATAGTATAAAAAGAAATTCACTACTAGCTAAATATCATGGTTGTATGGAGCCAGACTGCCTAAATTTGAATCCTGCCTCCTGGTTACTAACTAGCCAATCAAGGACAAATTATTTAACCTTCCCTTGCCATAGTTCCAGATCCATAAAGTGGATTTAATGATAGTACATACTTCAGAGATTGTTGTGAAGATTAAATGAACTGATATCTGTAAAGCTCTGAGAATAGTGCTGTTGAGTTTTTAATATTCATCTTTATTATTTTTATCTTGAATGCTTACACAAGGTACTCTGAATCAAAGATTTCTTAGGATTATCTCATAATAAATAAGTACATTGGCCTGCTTTGACCTATGCCTTCCTCATAGGGAAGGCCAGGTCATATGTCCTACATAAGTAGCTAAAAACTCTACAGGTAAGTAACAGAGTAGAATGGGTTTTTTTTTCCACTTTAATACAGGAGAGACAGTCATCTGCTCCCAATCTGAAAGGGAAAAATCTTTTGCTGCTTTGAGATAGACTGGAAAGGATCCTAGGTTCTCACTCTAATCTTTCGAATGTAAATACATCTTTCTAAGGACAAAATAAACCCCAGGTGTCTCTAAGATCGGAGTTTCACACCCAGCGAGGTGGTGCCCCAATCTTTCAGGCACTTGAGACCTTAACCTAGGGACCTAATCAAAGCTGTAACATTTAGCTCATTTAAGGAGTTAAGAGGAGTTTTACTGTCCTTTTCAATCAAAGAAACTAACTACACAAATAACTAGAGGTATGAAAAGTTTCAGGAGGCTACGGCTTTTTGTAGCACTGAGAAATTCAAGCAAGTTTCTCTTCCCCACAAATACCTGGCATACACTGAGTTTGTGTTGTTATATAAATAAAAATAAACACAACTGATGAAATTATAAAGATAAGAGCAAAAAGTAATGACATACAAGAAGAGACACAAGAAAGAGGATCAACAAAGGCAAAAGCTGATTCTTAGAAATCTTGACCAATTCTGGTGAGACTAATCAAGAAAAGAGATAAGACGCACTGAGCACTATTCACCCAGAAAGGAGAGAGATCTACACATTCAGCAAGATTACAAATATGGTAAGAAAATACCTTGGAAGACTCTATTAGTACTACCACTTTGGAAAACCATTTGGCATTATCTGGTAAGACTAAAGATATGCACGCCCCAAGACCCAGCAATTTTGCTCCTCTGAATGTGTTCTCAAGAAACTCTTGTAGATGTGCACCAAGGGAAAAGTGCAAGAATATTATAGAAGCATTGTTCATAATGGCAGGAACATAGAATACCAAGTGTTCATGTACAAGAATATAAAAATATTAATTGTGGTGACTTCATACAATAAAATGTGGAATAACAGTAAAAATGAATTAACTATAGCTATCTGCCATCAACTCTAATGAATGCCACAAGTGCCTGTTGGGCAAAGTAGGAAATTACAGAAAAATACAGTATGATACTATTATGAAAATACAGTAACAGTCATAATTAAGGAATATGCCACATGGGGATATATAAATACATGGTGAAATTAGAAATAAATGCCAAAGGATTTTAATCACAAAATTTAAGTGTAGTGATTGTCTGGGGAAAAAGACAAAGGAATGAAATCAGAGTGCCAGACATGGCCAGTTTCCAGTATTAAAACTGCTGCATTTCTAAAGGGTGGTGAGTAGGCGCTACGTGTTCATTTTAGGGACATGACTTATATATACATTATACTTATTATTTTAAACGTAAAATAGTTTAAAACAAAAGGGGCATTTTGCATGAATTGTATCACTTGGCTTTGGAGCTGAGAAAGCATCTTTACCATTAACCCTTGCTTCACCAGAGTGATTCCTACTGTTCCCATAAATCTCCCCACTTCTCTCAGTTCTTTTATAGGCTGGGAAAGGGCACTGGAGTGGCCATTCATCACAGAAGGGATGGTATATGTCTACTCTTGTTAAGCCCAAGTAGTTTCCGAGTCTCACTAAAAGGTGAGTATTTAACAGTACTTTGTCCTTAGATTTGGTCCATTGCTGCCAATTTAGAGCCATGGGGGAAAATGTCCTCCTTGACATTTTTCTTTTTATTTTTCCATGAATAACAATTATCAAAGAGGATTTGTGGATCAGTATGCTGTATTAAAGAAAAGAAAATTCTAGAATAGGCCTATGACATAATTAATATTATATGTATACACCCGCACACACACACACTGTGGGATGAAAACAGGAATATGAAATATGAAAGACCTCTTCATAAAATTCTCTTACTTTGAAAGATGTCCCTTTTTTTTGTTTTAAACACAGGGGGAAAGCTTTTACCTCAGAGCCATCACTTCCTTACACCACGTCTTCCCTCTCCCTGGTGTTAATGTTCCATGTAATGCTAATTAAATGCACATGTGTAACTAATTTAAGTATTACAAAATTCAAGGCACTCTAAACTCGCTCTTCCCCCAAAAATAAAATTTAAAAGTTGCTTATCTGTAGACTTTACAGAGGACAGAAAATTGAATTGTAAAATCATATTTCACAGAAAAATCTTAAATTGACTAGTCAGGCTATGAATACTTGATTGTGGTAGAAACAGTTCAGAAATAGCCCCATTTTAATTCATTTGGAAAAGGTGGCTATTCATTATACAGAGTCGTTGGCTCAGGAAAGAGAACAGAAAGGGCTGAACTTGTCAGGCTTAACACATATGTGTAAAACAAATATTCTCACTCTGTTCTGAATTGAGCCTCCTGAATATCACATTAGGGATAGAACCCAAAAGGTGGTCAGAGACGTACACTAGCATGAAGAAATGTGATCCACAAAAAGCACAGAGGGGAAATTTCCATAGATACATATTATTAAGACACAGATCATTAAAGATACTTTCATTCCCAGGTTGTTAGCAATTTGAAACTCATGTTTATTACATGTCAACCAAACATTTTAGCATCAATATCTTAAAAATGGAAGTGACAGGGAAAGGCAGAGTCTTTGAACACTATTTTCAGAAATGGCAGTAATCCTGGAAACAATCATGCTTCCCCCATCAAAGCCATATAAAGGATAACTCTCTGCATTTTTACTTAAAGAGAATTACCGGGGAGAGCCCGTACCTAGTAAAACCAACAGACCAGTGAAGATAGAACATGATAGTCTGTGTTAAAGGAGATCTTTCACTTTCCACAGAGAGATGAAGGGGAAAAAAAGCAGAAGAGCTTACCTTTATGATGGTTTGCACTGGATACAACTTTCCCCCACAAGGTTACAATAAATATTATTATTAGCAGCTTTCCTTTTGTTGCTTTCTGTAAGTATCTCTTACTCATCCTGCAAATAAAATAAAAATAATAAAAATCCTAAGTATATGAAACCACTGCTTTTCCTTTATAATTGTGCTACATTTAGAGCTTTCATAACACCTGAACATCTGAAAATGGCATTTATTGTATTTGAAATGCTGTTTACTGTATAAATTCCGAAGAGAAAAAATAAAAGTATTCCAAACAAAGTGCCTTGATATGATGCAGGAGATAAAAGAGGCTCTACCTCAGTCAGTCTTCATTCACTTAACAATAGCCTAAATCAACTGGGAAACATTACCATTTTTCTCCATATAAATATAGATTTAACTTATTCACAAAATCCAAGGCACAGTTGTTTGAATAATCTTTAAATAAGTGACTTTATCTTACTCTTTTTTGCTAGAAGATTCCTTCTTCAATGCCAAGTCAAATGGTCAAAGTAAACAGTCTAGATAAAATGTGTTAAATGAATTCCTGTCCAGAATAAACTCATTTCAAATCTGTTATTCCTAATGTGCTTTAAAAAAAAAAAAATGTCCTGGTACAACTGCTTCTTACAATCCCGCTACTAGAGACACACAGATGTTTTAATATTGTTGGAATCCACTGTTCTGTACTTTATCAGAAGTAGGAGAAAAATGGAAAAGCAGAATGAAAAATACAAAGTAAACCTTTTCAAGTTGAACTCACAAAACTTGGGAAAACAAAGAAATGTTCCAATATAATAATAGTTACCTCTAATAAAAGTACAGCACCTACTTTCTCTAGCACTTTACATGACAATATTTATATTCTTCACAACAAATGGTGTGTATTTGTATGTCCATCCCCTTTCAAAGATCAAATTTGGAAATTTGCCTAAGGTCATGTTTAATGATAGGCAATTCTGGGTTTGAATTTTTACTATAATTCTAAATGCCTTATATTAACTACCACTTTGCTAAGGGGTAAGTGAAACTAATAGAAAATAAAATTCATCTGTATTTATTTATGAGGTATATAAAATATATGCCCATCACTTAGTGCCTTCTCAGATTATAATCCTATACTAAACTCTGTTGTTGTTTGACCTCGAGATTCCTGCCTTACCTCTAAGGCAAGTTCATGAGGTCACTTTCTGACCTAGTCTGATTCCTCTTCTTCTTGAATTCTCTAAATTAGCTTTCTTCTCACACTGTTACTTCCAAAATTCTATCTCTAAAAATTGACTCAGTGATAACAATGATGGCTATAATTTGTATAATTCTGATGAGGAGTTTTTCATATGGATAAGTGCATTAAAAATGAATTCTATATTTTAATATAGATATATGCAAGCATTGCTTGGCCTGGAGAAGCTGTGTGCACCAATTCAGATTTTGAGGAGACATTGTCACATGATTAAGAACATGACTAACTCCTGAGTCTGACTGTTTGGATTTGAGTCCAGTCTGCACTGATTTCTGGATCTCCTACTTCAGTTTCCTCTACTATAATATGGGATAATTCATGTGAAATAACTGATCTATTGACTGGCATGCATAAGGGCTCAATGAGTATGAGATTAGAGAACATTCCAGTCATTGGATGTTTCTTTGGTCCTTGAGAAAGGTCAGTCCCATTCATGAGAAGATTGTAAGGAGTTTTGGTCATACCAACAATGACCAAGTCCTCTATGAACTTTAGTCTTATGACATGTCAAGACAATGTACAAAGGGATGAGTGTTTGATCTTTTAGATTAAACTGTTTGGTTTAAAATCCAGTTTCCTGCCTACTGACTATATTACTTTAGACTAACTACTTCATAACTTAGAGTATTTTTGTTGTCACTAAAATGAGGATAATAATAAATATCTACACCTGCTAGCATAGTCAGTATAAAGACTAAGAGAGTCCACGTAAAGAGTTTAACACTATGCACAGAAGATGATAAGCACTCAATAAACATTAACTGTTACTACAGTCATCACTTGGTTAGTCTAGCATTTCCCTTGGAGCATTCTGTGAGGCATCAATTCCACAGCATATTAATAGAGTATTAGTGAACAACATGGTGGGAGGGGCAAATGTATTTGTATAACTCTAGCTTCAACAAACATAACCAGATCCTCTTCTAACAAGAGGCATATTTGAGTGTGCAGCATTTCCAGAAATCTTTCTCCACAGAGTAACACACGATACTAGTGCTCTCAGGAAGCCTCTGAGGGAAATAATCTGGTTTTGTACTCTCTCTCAGAAAACTAAATACTCATTTTACATAATCCATTATGTAGCCTTTGTTTCCTCTCAGCACTCTTAGTACTAGTTTTGTTCTGAGATTCTACTTTTTCTAACATTTTTTTTTAGCTATCCTGCCTCCCCACTCTACATTCGATCCCTGCAAACTTATTGTACTGCATATCATATAGCAAAGTGAATAGTTTAGCAAAACTCATCTGACAAGAAGAACTGCTTAACATAATTCTTGATAATAGTTTTTCCATAGCAAATGGCCTCTGCTACAAGGTCAATGACCCATTGTATTCTCCATATCACTGTGCACCCACCAAATGGGATGACAGAACTGACAGCCAGTCACACTGATAACTAGACATCTACAAATGAAAACACCCACAAAGTCACCAGGCTGTCAAACTACGAAAGGAAGGGGAATACAGTTCAACATGTGGAAATGTGTAGAGACCCCTCTCCCATCCCCTCCAATCAATTACTGTCTTCTTTAGCACTATTTCCTGAATATCTCTTAAACATACACACTTGCTTTCATCCCTACTGAAATACTTGAATTCAGACCACCAAAATTTCTCATGGGCCACAGCCTCTTAGCTGGACTTCTTACAGTCAGTATTTTCAGCCTCTGGAACTGAAGACAAGGTTTGGGTCTGCCTTTTTTTATGACTACATTTGTAGTATTGAGTATTCAAAAAGTGCCTAATACTGTTGACTGAATAGGATACAGTGTAGCCAAATATGTAACTATGATCATGAGACATCCTTTATATGATTAACACCTTCACAAGTTCCCCCTCTATGAACAGAAGGAAAGACCCTTAACCTCAGCAAGATATAAAAAAAGAAACAACTGAATCAAAGTTAAACATTTTTTTTATTATCTCTAATCTTATTTTCTGCCTCTCCTCCCCATCTCCCTCTCCATACATACTCACAGTCTGTGTTTTAAATTCACGACGCTTCCTCAATGTCATCCAGCTTAATCTCACTTCCATGACACTTGAAACATATCAGCCATTCACTCCATCCCCCAGTCCACTCTCATTAATGCTAACTTCTATTCACTGTTCAGGATGCAGGCCAGAAGTCCCTCCAGAAGATTTGTTTAGGACCAGGTTGAGCACCCTTCTTTATGCACACCAGCCACTTGCCACACTACTATAATTTCCATTTACTTATCTCCAACTCTCACTGTCATCTAAGATTCCTGAAGAGGGACTGTGCTCCATACATTTGTGAATACCTTGGGCCTGACCCAAGGGTCAGTTTTAGTAACTGGAAAATGATTCTTTGCTGAATTTTAGTGGAACCTTAGAGCCAAATATACTGTGTAGTTGTCAACGTGAGGAGGAAACAATTATGTTTCATTTCTTTAGGATTAAAATTAGGAAAGGACAAACAAAAAGAAGAATTTTAGAAAGTGGTAGGGTAGAGGGAGACAAGAAAGGAAGAAAAAGGGAGGAATCCAATCTGGAGTGTGTTTTATTCTAATTGATTTTTAAATAATAATATAGTTTGAGCAAACTGAAGTGTAATGGAGTGAAGGAGGGCTTTCAACAAAGGCACATTATCAAAAAGGAGAAAAGCTGAATGGTCCATTTCTTCAGAGCACAGAGGAGGCAGCATTCACTCATTATTCAGTGTGTAACCAACAGACACCATTTAAATATGTCTACCACAGTCAAGGGCCAAGCGCACTATCAGAATTGTCCCATTCGTCTGTAAAAATGACAAAATGTAAGTGACTTCTTTAACAACAAAATCTGAGAAAGAAGAAATAGGAAACTTAAGGATAAATAATACACAGAGGACAAAACCTTGAAATTGCTCCTCAAGCAGCCACAGCTTGCAAGAAGCACAAGGCAAACAGGATAACTGAGCAATGGTAACCTTGGCAGGGAAGGATGTTGAAAAGTCATCAATGTAGAAGACTGACAATTAAACCTTTAGACTTTCTCCCACTCCATTCTTTTGTGTGATGTATTTCAGTTATATTCTCTGAGATTCAGTCTTCTGAATGTTTGTGAAACCCTGTGCCTCCCCACCGATGTGAAACGTGCATTTAACTGTAAATAAGGACTGAAAAACAATGATGCTACCAGATTAATCATTTCCCCATAAAAACAGAAAGTAAGTTTAGCTGAGCTAAACAGGAGAAGATGGGAGGAAAAGGGGAGTGATGGGGGCATCTAGAATCCAACCACTCGAGCAAAGCTCTTAGGCATAAGACACTTGTGTGGAAATAAAAGCCACACAAGACAATATATTTAAAGGTTTCTTTAGGAGTCTTCTCTACATGGGTCTAATATTTATAACACAGTGTTGGCACGGGCTTTAACACCACAACTTAGTACAGTAATTTACCCTTGAGGTGGAATGCTCCAATTGGTAACACAATTTTCTCCTCACAGGGACCAGAATGATGTTACAAAATTTAAATCAGATTTTATTACTGTACCCTACTCCTTGCTGTAAATCCCAGAATTTACTTATTAAAACAAGAATAAAATCTAAATTTCTTACTGAAAAGAAAGCTCAATATCATTTGCCCTCCCCTGCCCCACCTTGGCCTCTCTGACCTCAGTTCACATTCCCGTTTCCTTCCTTCCCTACAGTGCAAGTGCAGCCACACTGGCCTTCCCTCTGACCCTCTGTGGGGAGAGGTCATTGAGAGGACGTGACTCATCATTGACCTATGAGCTGGATTTGGACAACCAGAGGCCCCTCATCCCTCCCCTATCTTTGGAATATACATTCTGTCCACCATTTATATAGTGGGAGCTGTTTCAAGGACAAACTCTTGAGAGCGCAAG